CTTTGGTTCTTTACACAACCATTCAGGTTCTGGTACATAGACTCAATAAAGCTTCAACCTTGTGCACAGGTTTCATCTCCTGGTGTCGAAAGGGTAGTACGGATTCCGCAGGATCTTGATCGGTATAAGGACAGACCAATGTATGTGAGGTACACTAACGAGGAAACTGAGACAGAAGGTGATGGTATTTTCAGGCTGGTTTCTTTCGATGTGGAAGCCAAAAGCTGCGTTTGGGGCATAGCGGATATTAGAGTAAACCGCGAAAAGGCCGGTAAAGGTAGACCTTTGAGCAAGAAGCAAAGAGAATGGCAGCTCGAAACGTCTTTCGAGTCACTACGGTTAGTTCGTTTGCACTCTGAGTGTTGAAACACACAATAATGGCAATACTTCTTATTAAAACCTCAATAGAATGAATCTATTACAAAGGTGTAATAGATTAGACGCGAGAATTATTAACTTAAAACAGAGTAGAAAACCAAAAGCTATAGGAGATGTCTTTCATTTATTGCTGTGAGTGCATAAGAGCAACTAAAACACGAAGTAGACATCATCGGTACGATAATGGATTCAAGCACCCATGGTGATGATGCAACGGATACTCTCCCCCTTCAACATGTAATCAAAGGCCTTGTTGATCTCCGAGAATGGCACTGTGTGAGTGATGAATTTCTCAAGCTCCAGCTCCTATTCATGAAAACAGATCATCAGAAGAAGATTTGGTATTATTTGATTCGGTAATAAAAAGACCAAAGCTTATCATTACCTTGTTCATGTACTTTTCGACAACCCCGGGAATGTCAGTTTTGGGTTTGTAGTTCCCAAAGAAAGTACCTTTGAGAGTCCTCTCATTCAGGAAATTCATCGGATGAGTCTTGAAGGCATCGTCTTTGCTTGGCACACCGACAAGCACCGCAACACCCCAACCCTGAAACAACATCATACGTATTAGGTTCAGATTTCCACAATGTAGTCATGAATGGTTTGGTCCGAGATCAACGTGAAGTGAACATTACATCGTGAACGCATTCAAATGCTTGAATCATGGCCTGAACGCTTCCGGTACACTCCACACTCCGGTCAACCCCACCATCCGTCATCTCAGCAATCACCTGTTGAACAGGTTTGTCATGGTCTTTCGGGTTCACAAACTCGGTCACACCGAATTTCTTAGCTGCCAAATAACAACATATCAAACTCAAATGTAAGTAACGAGATCAGAGAAGAACATAGTCAAAAGACTAATTATCTTTTTTAGCTACCTTCATCGAATCTCTTCGAGTTGAGATCAACACCAATGATTCTAGAAGCACCAGCGATTCTAGCACCTTCAGCAGCGGCTAAACCAACAGCACCGAGACCGAAAATCGCAACGCTTTGTCCCTTTTTCGGTTTAGCAACATTCAAAGTAGCTCCTAACCCAGTAGATATACCACAACTAACAATGCAGACTTTATCAAGAGGAGCATCAGGATTGATCTTAGCAACCTGACCAGAGTGAACCACAGTGTATTCACTAAACGTTGATGTCCCAACGAAATGATGAATCGGTTTCCCATTGATAGAGAACCTCGATTCACCGTCGTGTATCATCCCTCCGCGTTCGGTGTTGATCCTGAGAAGATCACACATGTTTGATTCCTCAGAGTGACAATGAGGACAATCACCACATTCTCCGGTGAATATCGGTAACACATGATCTCCTGGTGCAAGATCTGTCACACCTTCTCCAATACTCTCCACAATCCTACACAACAACCAAAATCCAATCTCAATCTCTCTAAAACCCTTTGAAAACACCCAAAAATGAGGAAAGATCAGAGCTTTTTCTTACCCTCCAGCTTCATGACCGAAGATACGAGGAAACAACGGTGTTTGTCCCTGTGGAAATCAATAAAAAATGTGAAAAGTCTGAAACTTTTGTTGATAAAACTCAGAATCAGAGATTGAAATTATGAAACTTTGGTTTACCTTTGCTTCCCAGAAGTAAACATCGGTGTGACAAAGAGAAGTGAAGAGGATCTTGATACGAACTTCATGTTTTTGCGGCGGAGCAACCTCTACTTCCTCCATAACCAGTGGTTTTCCGGCTTCCCATGCCACGGCAGCTGCAAACAAACCACCATAAGAATCAAGATCCAGTAATGATCATCAAAACCTCAAATGGATTTAGAAAAAAACAATAACAAACCTTTGCATCGAATAATCTGACCGGTCGTAGACATTTTCAATAGTGAAAAAACTTTAATCTTTAACTTTATGTTTGTGTGATTGATTATGAGAGAAGAGAGAAAACAGAGAAAGGGTTTTTATAGCTGGTAACGAAAGAGAATGTATTTACAGAAATGCCATTGGGATATTATTCCAAGTCGACATGTGTTTGTTAGATAGTTTTGGGGCTTTTGGTGTTACTAGGGGCGTTAAGGCTTTGGTTTTGCCTTTTGCCTCTATAATAAATCTTTTTCTTTTCCACTTGGCATCACCATAATTTGTCCACGTGGAATTTCTTTTCCTTTTTTAATAACGAGTTTAAGCAATTAATTAAATTA